GAATTGAACCTGGGACCCTTTAGTCCGCAGGCCGATGCTCTATCCACTGAGCCAAACCGGTCAGGGCTAAACACCGTGTTTAAATGACTTTGCTAGATTGTTGGAACACTGGCAATGTGTCATTTAAAATATCAGTGGTGGTCCAGAACAACCTCAGTGGGGAGCAGAGGCCTAAGGCCAGTTACTTAAACCTCAGGAAGGTTCCCACCCCAAGCCTCCAAAGGGAAGTAGTTGAAGGCCCCTGATTTATTCTGGGGAGCCTCTCCCTTCAGGTGTCCTACCTGCTCACACCCACCATGGAAGAAGCCTCTACTGTGAGAAGCTACAGCCCTGGGAAGCTGGGGAAGCAAGTGGACATGAGGGAGGGCGTGATGCCCCTTCTGAGGTTTTAGTTATGGTTCCCTGGGGCCTTTTTCTAGACAGATTGGATTTTGTATCCACAGTGTAATTGCAGTCAGAGTGTATGTAATTTGTGTACATTGAGAAAGTCTGGGAAAGTCAGGGGTCTTTGTCTTGGGTTAGGGATTGTCACTTTGGGAGTTCATTTGGGTCAGAACCTTACACTGAATCCAGCAGTGTTTTCTCACTATGAGCTGAAGCCTGAGAGAGGGAGCAGTTTCGTTATTCCCTGGGAAGAGAAGCTCCCAGAGTTCACTCTGTGGGTTGCTCAGGTGTCCTTCCACCCCTTCCCCAGTGACTATCCCACTGTTTTCAGACAAAGTGGAAGGTCCTCTTCCCCACTGGCTGCTGCCAGGAGTTGAGTTCTTATGATATCTCAAGAAAAATAACTTTCTGAGACTCACGGGGAGAACAAGTGATTTTTTATTTTATTTTATTGATTTTTTACAAAGAGGAAGGGAGAGGGATAGAGAGTTAGAAACATCCCCACAACCAAGGTACATGCCCTTGACCGGAATCGAACCTGGGACTTTTCAGTCCACAGGCCGACGCTCTAGCCACTGAGCCAAACCGGTCAGGGCTATCTCTGGGCTTCTAAAGTCCCATCTCCCTTAGTCCAGTCATAGAAGAAGTGTAGCTTGGGTTTCAGTAAAGCTAGAAGCAAAGCCACTGTCCAGAGGTTCCATTCCATGTTGCAGCTGGATCCAGTACAGCATTAGGCTAGCTGCAGTCCACTAGTCCATTGTGGGTGAGGGCCCACATGGCTGTGGGCCACATAGGAGAATGCCAGAGAGCACGCCCCAAGCAACAGGAGCCCCCAGGGTCCTGAAGGCACAAGAGAGGGAATTTCTCTGTTCGGGGATGTTCAGGGGATTAAATATCCCCAATCCTCATGTGCTTGCAGTGGCCATGCCCCTTCTGGCCAATGACCTTTTTTCCCAGGCAAGACTGACAGACAAGTACTTTTCCTATTTCACCCCAGCTTTACTGGGTATGCATCTATCTTCCCTTTGTCCAGTCCCCTTTCCTCAGGATATGCCTATAATGCCTGGCCTTCCCTTCGTATTATTAATAACAATCATTATTACAACAGTATCATTCCCAACCCCCCTGAGAGAAAAGGAACCTCTTTGTAATCTTACCTAGGAAAAATGGACTAAGGTCTCCTCCATCTCTTGTAACTGCTTCCTGCTATGAAGGGACATAGTCCTGCCTATCCCAAGGCTCAAAGGTTCTCCCTGTCTGACCAGGAAGGAGGTAGCTAAAGAGACAGCGAATCTTCATGTAGGGATTCTGTAAAGTCCAGGTCATTCTGGCGTCCCTGGGAGGTGACATAGGCAATGTCTAGGAGGCTGGTTCATTGGACAAGCTGGCATTCTTGTTCTGTTCTAGAAATGACAGACTTGACAAGAAGGTTAACAGGCACAATTCAAAAGTGAGGAGACTAAACGTCTAGTGACAGGTAAGAGCCCATGTGGTAAAGGGGAAGATTAACTTACAGCGTCCCCAGTTACGTCGGGGGAATAACTTCTTCCCTGGAGGCAGGTGTGTTGCACCTGTCGGAAACTTTTGTCCATCATACATAACATTGCGGACGGATCCTGAGAATTCTCGTGTTTCTGTTCTAAGGTTTGAGGCCAATCATGAGAATTCTTTAAAAAGATATTAGCTTGTAAGAACATGTAATAAATAACTTAAAAATGCAATGGGGCCGAAACCGGTTTGGCTCGGTGGATAGAGCGTCGGCCTGCAGACTGAGGGGTCCCAGGTTCGATTCCGGTTAAGGGTATGTATTTGGGTTGCGGGCACATCCCCAGTGGGAGATGTGCAGGAGGCAGCTGATCGATGTTTCTCTAAAAAATAAAAATAAAAATAAAAATGCAATGGGTATTTAATTTTAAAGCGTGCCTTTAACATTTACGTAAAATGTTTTTTGTACTCGTTCAATATAAACTTATCTGGCCACTGGGTAAAGCTAGCAATAAAACTACTGGTCCGCAATGTGTTAACTCACATTAAGCTAAGGGAAATCTAAGATTTACCTAATGAGAAACTATGAGCCTTTTCTGTCTGAACCCTTTGGACAGAAAAGGGAACATAGTTTCTAGTGAAGCCGATAGACTGTCCATACTTCATTGACTCAGCTATAAGTCCAAACCATTGACTCTCATTTTCAGGACACAGTGATTCAGTTGGCTTCTAAGAGAGGCCTATATTGTGTGAGCAAGTAATCAGGTAAATAAGGACATGGGCATACATTCTATGAAAATAGAAGAACACAAAACACAGCATACAGCAAATCATAAACTAAGTGAAAAGATTTCCAGATACAAGGCTTCTGCTGGGATTAAATCACACCATGACAGTCTGATAGACTGTCTGAAGGTAAAACATCTCTGGTAATGTCATCAGGGCTGAGGCCTGTATGGCAGTGGTCAGCAAACTGCGGCTCGCGAGCCACATGTGGCTCTTTGGCCCCTTGAGTGTGGCTCTTCCACAAAATACCACGTGCGGGCGCGCACGTACGGTGCGATTGAAACTTTGTGGCCCATGTGCAGAAGTCGGTTTTCAGCCTGGGCGAGTCTATTTTGAAGAAGTGGCGTTAGAAGAAGTGGGGGGTGTCGGTTGGTCGGGCGAGGGGAGACGCAGTGCAGGTGGGCCTCAGGATACGCAGTGCGGGGGATGCAGGCGATTCGTGCACAAGTTGAGTGAGCCAGTCAGTCAGCAGTCTCGTTGTGCAGTGGTTAGTGCTAGTCGTGTCCACAAATCGCGCGCGGGTGACAAAAGTACCTACTCGAAGCATAAAGTTACCTGTATTTTTCCAACCAGCTGCAAATCCTACAGGTATTTTTGTCATCAATTTAAGAATTGTAATTATTTTGTGTTGGTGGCTTTATTATTATTTTAGCAAAGGCCAGCTTAGGAGTACCCTAATTAAGTTAATAACAATGTACCTACCTATATAGTTTAAGTTTAAAAAATTTGGCTCTCAAAAGAAATTTCAATCGTTGTACTGTTGATATTTGGCTCTGTTGACTAATGAGTTTGCCGACCACTGCTATATGGCATACACAAACATAACCTTAAAAACAATACTTTGAAGACAGTTCATTGCATTGGAGTCCAATATTCCCAATTGTGATTTCCACTGAAACACAATTTTTCTCCCTAAGATTACCCTCATTTTCAAAGAGATTGCATTAAGTCCAGTTTTAGTTTGGCCTGATTGTTTGAATAAGCACAACAAGAATAGCAACTGATCAAATCAATCACATGGGCTCTTTCAAATTTGCTTTGCTTGATTTTTCACAAGGAATCTTTAAATCAGCGGTTCTCAACCTGTGAGTCGCGACCCCTTTGGCGTTCGAACGACCCTTTCACAGGGGTCGCCTAAGACCATCCTGCATATCAGATATTTACATTACGATTCATAACAGTGGCAACATTACAGTTATGAAGTAGCAATGAAAATAATTTTATGGTTGGGTCACAACATGAGGAACTGTATTTAAAGGGCTAGAAGGTTGAGAACCACTGCTTTAAATTGACCTTTAGTGAGCAGTCAGCCCCTCAGGAGGAGAAGTTAAGCCACAGTTGGCATTAGGCTGAGCCTGAAATACCTGTAGGTTTGGGTCAAGTCCTCAAGTCCTTGATGTCCACGAAGGTGTCTTGAGGTTCCTTCCTTGCCATCTTTCAGGAAAATAACCTTCATCCTTTACCTGGAAAGACTGTGATGAACCACATGACCAAGCAAGGTATTAGGCCATTTCTGCAAGTGACTTTTGATTGACCGATCAGCTTTAAGAGTCCGTCTCAATTCCTTAAGCTTTCTGGTGACGTCCAGAATCCAGGCATGTCTCTCTTGGACATGGCATTCCAAAGTCTTGGTTAATAGGGACACATAGTTTGGAACTGGTCTTATTGGATTAATGCGAAGAAATATACTGCCATGACTCATTCATTAAGAATTGCCAAAATCTGGAGGGATCAGGTAGGGAGAAAAAAGGTAAAAGTAAGCAATTAGCATTCCCTAAATTGGCAAACACATTTTAGCCTGGCCAGTATGGCTCAGTGGTTGAGTGTCAGCCTATGAACCAGGAGGTCATGTTTCAATTCCCGGTCAGGGCATATGCCCGTTTGCAGGCTCATTGCCCAGTGTGGTGCATGCAGGAGGCAGCCAATCAATGATTCTGTCTCATCATTGATGTTTCTATCTCTCCTTCCCCCTTCCTCTCTAAAATCAATATAAATATATATTAAAATACAAATAAATAAATAAATTTTTTTTTAAAAAAAGATGAGTTTTCTCACAGGAATTGAGGTACTTAATATAGGAATATTATGTTATTATTTGAATTTTTTCAAAGTGATCTTTACTCTGACGTTAGAGAGTAATGAAGACTTTAAGTGATCAAAATAAAATCATATCAATAAATTCCATGTGTTCATGAGGAATTGAGTGTGGCTAATAAATAATAGTCTGACAAGCAAGTCATAGAATGAATGTTGGGGACATCGTGTCCTATGTGAACTTCTTACGAAATATGTATAGATCCCTAGTGCTGTCTAACTCACCCATATACATATGTGGAATATTTTAGGACTCAGTGGCCTTTGAGGATGTTAATGTGGAGTTCACCATGGAGGAGTGGGCTTTCCTGGATCCATCCCAGAAGAAACTCTATACAGATGTGATGCTGGAAACCTTCTGGAACCTGGCATCAGTAGGTAGTGATGACAACTTCTTATTTATTTAGTCAATTAGAAAATTATGTTGCTTGCTCATCAGTGCTGCTTCAAGAACTGAAATGTGGAAAGGGAATACATTGATAATTAAACTAGGCATGATCACAGCTCATCATGGACCTAAAGTCTAACCATTTTTTATACTAGTATTTTTTTAATAATTCATGATGCTTTCTTTTTTCTAGCATGTATTTTAGAAGAAAAATGTGAAGACCATGACAGTGAAGATCAGTGTGAACATCATGAAATGAATCTTAGGTGAGTCACACTGACATGAGAAAGCAATGTTCCACAAGATAATCTTAATATATGATCAAATATTCCCAGTCAAGGGCAGATACCTGGGTTGCAGGTTCAATCCCTGGCCCCAGTCAGGGTATTTGCGGGAGGCAACCATCGATGTCTCTCTCTCACATCGATCTTTCTCTCTCTCTCTTCCTCCTTTCCTCCCTCTTCCTCCCTACCTTCCACTTTCTCTAAAAATGAATGGAAAAAAATATCCTTTGGTGAGGATTAACAATAATAATAATAATAATAATAATAATAGATACACATGGGCCCTTGCGGGGTGGCTCAGTTGGTTGTAGCATCATCTAGTATACCAAAAGGTTGCAGGTTTGATTCCCATTCAGGGCACATACCTAGGTTGCAGGTTTGATCCCTGGTAGGGGCACGTACAGGAGGCAACCAATTGATGTTTCTTTCTCACATTGATATTCCCCCCCACCACCACCCCCTCATCTCAATAAACATATATTCTCTCGGGTAAGGATTTTTTAAAAAGTACACTAGGAACACTATTCAGAAACATCATTAATGACTATGACTAATAGTATCTACGATTGAGTCCACCTTCAAGGCTTTTAGTATATCCACGCTCAAACAACCTGAATGTGCAGAAACCCCATACTTTCCTTAAAAATGGTAAAAATGTCACTGTCATACTAGTAATAAATATAACATCATTGATAAGCAAAGTATTAATAACATGCTTCTGATTTTTACAGCAGTCATATGGTAGAGAGCCTCTGTAAATGGAAGGATGGGAGTCAATTCAGAGAAAACTTCAGACAGATTCCACATCAAAATGAAAGGAAGAAAACTCCTACTGAAATACAACTACCCACATCCAGGTTGTGTAGACAAGTCTTCATGCATTATTTATCCTTTAATAACCTCATGAGCTCTGACACTGGACCCCAACTATACCAGTGTGAGGAATATGAAGGGAAGCCTTATAAATGTAAGGAATGTGGGAAAGCTTTCAAGCATCTCCGATATATTAATGTACATGAAAAGAAACACAGTAGAGAAAGGCCCTATGAATGTACAAAATGTGGTAAAGCCTACAGGTATTTAAGTAACTTATGTCGACATGCAAGAACTCATACTCAAGAGAAATTCTATGAGTGTAAGAAGTGTGGGAAAGCCTGGAGTTCTCTCCTCATATTTCAAAGACACATGATCAAGCACACTAGAGATGGACCTTTTAAATGTAAGGAGTGTGGGAAAGAATTCCGTTGTCCAAGAAACTTTCGACATCATGAAATGATACACAATGGAGAAAGGCCCTATGAATGTAAGGAATGTGCTAAAGCCTTCAGTTCTCTCAAATATCTTAAAAATCATACAAGGACTCATGATGGAAAGAAGCCTTATGAATGTAAGGAATGTGGTAAAGCTTTCCGTTATGCCACTTCCCTTAGAAATCATGAAATAGCTCATACTGGGGAGAAACCCTATGAGTGTAAGCAATGTGGGAAAGCCTTTAGTCGTCTCAGTTACTTTCAAGTTCATGAAAAAACTCATAGTGAAGAGAAACCATATGAGTGTAAACAATGTGGCAAAGCTTTCCGTTCTCTCAAGTCCTCTCGAGTACATGAAAGAACACACAGTGGAGAAAAACCCTACGAATGTACAGAATGTGGTAAAATCTTCGGTTACTCAAGTAGTTTACATAAACATTTGAAAACACACTCTAGAGATAAACCCTGTTAATGTAAAGAATGTGGGAGAGCCTTATTTATCTTTCAGCTGTGCAATCACATAAGATGCTCCAGATTGGGGATGGGCCCTAAAAAATGTCAGGAGTGTTAGAAAGCATTCATTTCTTCCAGTGTATTCTATAGAATGAAAGAACTCACACTGAAGAGAGGCCTTGTCAGTATAAACATTGTAGAAGAGCCTTGGGTTGCCCTAGTTCTTTACAAAATCATACCCAAGAATAAGTCTATGAATATAAGGAGTGTGGGAGAGCCTTTCTTGCCGTCCCTTTTCCTTGGAAAGACCATGAAAAAAAACTCAAAGTGGAGAGAATTCTATTGAATGTAAACGATGTAGGAAAACCTTCATTTAGCCTCATATCCCCACAATGCCATGTGAGTATGTACACTGAATAGGTATTGTATAATGCTAGTGAAGACAAACTTTTAACAAATACTTTCAGAGGAGCTTGTAAACTGCACTGGAAGGCAATCATATTGCTGTAACTAGTACAGCCGTGGGCAAACTACGGCCCGCGGGCCTGATCCGGCCTGTTTGAAATGAATAAAACTAAAAAAAAAAAAGACCGTACCCTTTTATGTAATGATGTTTACTTTGAATTTATATTAGTTCACACAAACACTCCATCCATGCTTTTGTTCCGGCCCTCCGGTCCAGTTTAAGAACCCATTGTGGCCCTCGAGTCAAAAAGTTTGCCCACCCCTGACTAGTACATGTAAGCCCAGTGCAAATTAATTCCTATACTTCCAAAAATTCACAACATGAAAGAAATGCTATAAGCATTTAGATATCTATGGTCATTAACACTGACTCATTCTTAAAGTGATTCTCTGTAGTACAGAATTCTACTTTTGCAAGTAGAGGTTATATAATTCTGTAGAGACTTGAAGCCAGAGTTTGTAAGTTTAACAGGTATTTTTTTCCTTTTAGTCAGATAATAAACATTTATTACATCCGTGGGTGAATGGAAGTGGTTTACTAATATGCAAGTAGGTTTAACTTTTATGTAATTTTTGTAATTGTTCTGTAAGGAAAGGAACATTGAAAAATGGTACTTGGGTATTTGTTCTTTTTTCCCTACTGGCCTCCTGTGACAAGTATTGAATGAATATGCTTCACCCATATATATAATCTATTTTAACAGAAAAGTGCCTTTTCATTGGCCTGAAGAGCCTTACTCCATTTTCCTGTAAATACATGTTTTTTATTTTTTCAATTACAGTTGACATTCAGTATTATTTGTCAATAAATATTTGCGATATATTTGTACATATGCGAAGTTCATTGTAGAGTCCCATGTGAATTTTTTTCATCTATATCCTTTGCTTGTTGTCATTGCTTTTGGCTGGGTTTGAACTATGATGATTGCATTAAGAAGAGAATACCTGTGATAGGACAATAAGATCTATAGTCAGAGATGACCCTTCCTGACTCTGTTAGGTCAGCGTGAGGAATGTTGTGAACTGTATTTTCCACAATCTGGTGCCTTAATGGTTCCGTGTTAGAAATCACTAAGGCCTCACTTCCATGAAACTTGAATGCAGAAATGAAATAGGATTAGATTGGTTTTGAATCCACTTGTATAAAGGAGATGGCCAGAAGCATAGAGCTTTTGTGTACATTTGCTTTGAGTTTGTTTCCTCAATCTTTGCCCTGCCAGCCAAGAATATCCTCAAAACCTCCAGCGACTGCTTCACTTCCCTTGATGTCGGGTGTAAGCTTTACAGATGTTCACAATTTAACAGTAAAGATCCAGCATAGGTTGGCTTTTCCTGCAAGCCCATAGGTGTCCACCAGGCAACAAACATAGACGGTCACGGTTGAGGCTGTTTTCTGAAGGGTGCGCTCTGTTCTCTAGATTGTATTTGCATGAGGTCTAATTTGGCGAGTAATCATCTTGTCGTGGTGTTTCTAATACTGACTGTGATTCAGATCCTACTGTGACAGCTGCCATGGTGCAGTGCCACGGAGCCCCATGACAGTTTGTTCTTGTACCACCCTCTGCAGTGAGGGCTCTGAGCCAGTCCTTCCATGTGAGAATCGGCACTTTCCCCATTGCAGGCAGACTCTGATGTGTGCTGTCACTCAGAGCTGAGCCTAATCTCTCAATGTTGTCAGTTATCTTTGCATGTGATTAAAATTATGTGCATTTTTTCTCTCTAATCAATGCTTCTGTACTTTTTAAAGAAATAACTGTTTGCCAAGCACTCTTATGCTAAGAACTATTATTGTTTTTATTTCCTGAGGATATATTTAATATTCCAATGTAATTACGTAATTTCAGATCAACTTGTAATTTTTCCCATTTAATCATTATACATTCTGAGTCACAATTACGTGTGTACAAATTCAGACATGTTTTCCTGAGGCAAATTACATTTTTAATTTGTTTACTTAGAATTTTTGACATGAACTTCTTTCTTATTCATACAATTAAAAACTTCAGTCATGTTTGTTTTTTTTTAATCCTCTCCAGTGAAAGTCCAAGAAAATCACATATAGTAAAAGAGACATGTAATGGAATGAATTCAAATAATAAGAATGACCACAAACCATAAATGATTGAAGGGTGTAAGAGTAACAGCATATTTAAAAGGATTTCTTTTTTATTTAATCCTATATAATAAAGAGTCTGCCCCTTGAGTGTGTCTCTTATGGATGTGAAGAGTTGTAATCCAGTATGGTCTCACTCTGACCACTGGTACACTGGCTCTTGGATCTCCAAGGAGGTGCAAGGTCAGCCACTGTCTGGGGCCACCACAGAGACATCTGCAGATTCCTCCTCTTTGTAGGGGGTTTGGAAGTGCCCAGACGAGGCCCAGCAGTGAAGCAAGGCCGGCAGGGCCTTGGGCCTTCTTTTGGAAGCTCTGGGGCTCTCTGACCCAGCTGCAGTTTGACAGGTTTTAGGCGAAAGGACAGGCCATTCATATGCAAAAGCTGATGCCCACAGCTTGGGTGGGGTTGTAAATTAGGTGGGGTGGGGTCTCTGGGAATCACTAGGGTGGAGCAAACAGCAATGGCTGCCAGTCAGCCCTGAACTGGAGAAGTCCCTGGTTCTCTCTGCATCCCGCACCCCCGTGATTGCTGCGAGCCCCTCTAAGAGAAAGCCGCCCTCACGTTCCTGTCCCAGTGCCAGACAGTCCAGTTTCTCCCCGTATGTGCCTGGGTCCCCCAGAGTCTCGCCTGGAACTGGAGTTCAGAGCAAGCAGGAGCTTGTATCTCCATCCCAATTAAAAGAGCAGCGCATCCAGGTGCCAGCCCTTTCCACGCCTCCGCACCTCCTACCAGTCTCAATGCGCCTTGTTCACCTCTCTAGTTGTGGAACTTCCACTCAAACTTCCAGCGGTTCTGGGTGGTAGTTGTTCTGCCGTTTAGTTATGGTATTGATGTGGTTATGAAAGGCAGCAAGTACAGGCGCTTACCTATGCCGCCATCTTGGTTCTCTCTAAACATTTTTCTTGATATATAATTCAGACACTATAACATTCACCCTTAATAACTCAGTGGCTTCAGTACATTCAGAGTTACATAACCATGACCATACTCAATTTCAGAACATTTTCATCACTTCCTAAAAACACATCCCCATCAGCAATCACTCCCCAGGTCCTCCCAACAGCCCCACTCTTCCCCCATCATCATTGATGTTTCTCTCTCCCTCTCTGAAATCAATAAAAATATTGAAAAGAAAAGGAAAAAGAGAAAAGAAAAGAAAGAGTTCTGGTCATCTGCATAGTTGTACCCATCATGGGTTTTCTGTGAGTGGAGTGATTCCTGTGCAAGTCCAAGGTGAGTTCCTGGTTAACATGGCAGAAAGCTATCGCCGTTTACAATGATCTAAGGAAAAAATGAGGTGAACTGCAGACACAGTATCAGCAAAACAGGTAGATTTGATATCGTCAAACTGGGAAATTTTCTGTGCCTTTGATAAGAGGAGTAGCTGGAGGTTTTTTGTTTCAGCAGAAGGCACCAAGTTGTCCAGGCTCATGTTTGCTGTTTGCAGGGGTCATTTCCATGTTTACACTTCCAGGAGATGTTATGAAACATGGGGGGAAAGGTGATGCTTTTATTTCATTGAAGAGGGAAGGAAATCCAGACTTGGCCCCTTCTCTTTGTTTCAGTGCTAATTTATGTTTTCTTAGTGTGTAGAGCTCATATGATTTTATAGTTATTGCTATCTCCTATGATCCCTTGTCCCCATCATTCCTCCCACTGTACAGATGAAGAAAGTTAAGCAGAAATCTGGTCCAAATTTACATATAATAGTGCAATCTCTCCATTTTATTTATTTTTTTAAATATATTTTATTGATTTTTTACAGAGAGGAAGGGAGAGAGATAGAGAGTTAGAAACATCGATGAGAGAGAAACATCAATCAGCTGCCTCCTGCACATCTCCCACTGGGGATGTGCCCGCAACCCAGGTACATGCTCTTGACCGGAATCGAACCTGGGACCTTTCAGTCCGCAGGCCGACGCTCTGTCCACTGAGCCAAACTGGTTTTGGCAATCTCTCCATTTTAAAGTTATAATGTGTGCTCCTCTACTGTGCAATGTCAAAAATGTGAACTTCTCAGAAGAATGCCACCAGGCTTGTAAATTATGTACCTTTACAAATGTGGTGTCAAAGTTTCTGAACAGGAAAAGGTAAGGATCTAGGTGAAAGGGTTAATCAAGAAACAGGGCTAACTTAGTAACAAAGAAAGCTCCTTCTGCAATCCTAAGCCTGGCACAAACATGCTCCCTTTGAGTAGTTATTTTACATAAATTCTTGCACAGCCCCCCAGAGGAAGGACATCTTGGCACCAGCAGAAGGACAAAGGGCAAGGCCGTAAAACTATGGTCCTGATACGTGTGTCAAGCTGAAGCCCCGTCTGTAGCTCTCCCTGGGCACATAAAAAGCCTGCTCCCGCCCCATTCACCACTGATTTCTTTTTCGAAATCAGTCCACCTGCATCCAGGTGCCTTGAATAAATATCACATTGATTACACTGAGCCTTGAGTCTGTTCTGTGCGACCCCGGCCCTACCCCGAACTTTTCACTTGGAACCTCAAACAGACCTGGGTTTAAAGGTGGTGAAGCATGGCAGTCCCTCCTTTGGAAAACTGCTGTTTAAAACTGCTGTTTGAACTACTCTGTTATTTTTAGATAGTCTCTTATTCTACAAAATATAACTTTGTTTTTTAGCTTGAATAATAGAAAAGATAAACTTAACTGTCTGACCTTGCAAGCTAGCCATCTAAAGGGGCTGATACACTGATACTGATATTAATTCACATATTCTCATGCTAAGTGTTTGTTCATCCAAGGTTACAGGTGTCTATATAGATCTGATATGTACTCAAAGTTACAAGTTGTCTGTATAGATATGACAGGTGTTTAATTAGATATGATATGTGCTCAAGGTTACAAGCTGTCTTACACAAAGAACTAGAAGGATATAAAAAGGAAATACTCCCTCCTGTGTTTGTTCAGAATTTGACAGAGGTAATCTTCTCTGAACCTGCACGCAATAAAGATGACTCCTAACTAATTGGTTCATTAGGCGT